TACGGTTTTATTTAGCTCGACCCGTACGGAATTAATTTATTTGGGTAAAAATTAGAAATTGTAAATTAAGAACCTTTCCGTTCCCGAGAATACACTATAATAAAATCAAAAACATTATAAATCCAAGATGGCCGCCGATACAAAATGGCGGATTACATATTTTTCCTTAACCCCCTCAATATGAGTATCAAATGAAAGGGCTACACTAGTAAAACACGATGATTATGTTCATTTTTTTTTTAGATGTCAGTGCACAAAAATTAAAACCGTTTAACTTAAAAGTTTTTTCATGCTTTAATTATCCCCACAGCTGGGACACAATCATTAAGCATATAAGCCGTAAGTGTAACTTACTATGATTATTGTGTTAGAAGGTGATGTTTTGTATGCACAAACCAGTTTTCACTGGCGAAAACGCGGTAGAAATCAGTAAAGATAATCATTATTGCACGGAGATTGAACTCCAGACCGACAGGCACGGGATTAACTCTCTTATTTAGCCAAGGTTTAAGAATCTGTGTGAAAACAAGGGATTTTTCCACCAAGGTTGTTGGTACTAAGAGTGCGTCTGAACTATTTCCTAAACAATGTAACCGCACGCTTTATCCACCACTCTAGCAGACCCCATCTGACACAAGAGCGTCCCCAACGCGGATGATAGGCCATTGGACTTTTAATTACGACTTAGTCCCACATTCCTTTCATCATTGCGCACATTGTTGTAGGGTCGTTGGATCGATTCCCGCAAAAACACTAAGGAAAAAACGAGAACATTTTCATTCAACGTTACAACTGTATAACCGAGGCCTCTAGAGCCAGAGTAGCTTAACTGCAATTTCACGTTCAATTTATATTTTTAAAGTCTAAAAAATGTTAATCTACAAGAGCACAGTGGCCCAAAATTGTTAACATAATTCTTATACAATTAATAGTAAAAAATAATTTTCGCCTATGTTAATTGCGCATTTTTATTTTTCTTCTTATTTAAAATCATGTTTTTTTGTTATTAGGCCACTCTCGCTCTAGCAGGCTCAATCATCATTATTCTATACCTTAGTTATTTACAGTTGTTTACTTGAAAATATTACAAATGTTAAATGCTTTGGTATACATTAAAACCGTGAACAATATCTTTGCTCCTATGTTCAATATTAATATTACATTGTTATATATCTCAATTTTGCATCGCAAATAAACACAGTTAGATATTATACACATATATATGAACAAGTTAAATTATCAAACGCGCGACTAGTCGGGTTTGAATCCCAGGAAAAAACAAGTTTCGATCATGTAGGAATGCATGATTGCATGCAAAATTGTGGTTAAGTCTTCATTTCTATTTATGGGGCGAACTCAGTTCTGTGTCATTTCACAGATTATCTTAGTGTTAGTAAAACATACATATACATGTGTCTGCCACGTGCTTCATACGCCTAATTCTATAGCATACAGTTTTTTCATTATCCTATGTTTCATTAGACACTTTTAGCATATCATTTATATCGTATTACTCCAATGAACATTTTAAGCCCCTTACCCCTTCTATTATAGAAGGGACTCAAAATTCTTCTCAATTCATGTAATACTATAGCGTATTTCTTCTAACGTGGCATTTTCGATAAACGAATGTACAATTAACATGAAATCGTGTTTTTCTCACAAGTTTTACCTTGATTTAAACACTAAAAACACTTTGAGACACTGGATCACACAATTTCATACTAAAACTATTAAAGATCCTAAAAATGAAAAACATACACAGATTAACATGTATTTAGTTTGACATTTACATAAGGATACGATGTAAGCAAAGTCTACGGCAATAGAAGCATTACAAACGTCAAATGAAATAATAACAACATAATACAAGGTCCGCCATAAACAAACAAAAAATTTGAGTATTGAGGTGGTTTGGTCCATTTTTAATCGATATTTCTGTAATTCAAAAATTGAAAATAATATGAAAAATTTTCGACTCGGGCAGGACTTGAACCGGCATCGTCAGCGTTCCGTGCTGTTGCTCTACCAATTGAGCTACCGAGTCAACTTATTGATACATGCAACTCTCGCGCAATGTAATTTCAACTATAACACATGCGTATTAAGGTTCAAAATCTTATGAATTGCAGCTTAAAAAATCATTGAAGATGAAATTCCGAAAGTGCCTTCATGTGCAATAACATGTAAAAATTAATAAAGTTATCAAACGATATTTCTGTGTCATCTGTGGCAACAACTTCACCCTATAAAAGACCATCACTAGTTCTCTATGGTTTGCAATCGGCTATATTTGTTGTGGTCTTTTGCCAAGTTAGGAAAAATACACTATGTGTGTGTATAATTTGTTTTTATCGTAAAGAAGTGATATAGAAAATAAATGTCCTTTACTATAATGAAAACAATTACTAACAAGATTATTGCATACAACTGTGTCCCTAATGCATTCGGCATTACACAAATCAGTTATTGTAATGTCCAAATACAACATGCGTATTATATCATTGATCTACGCGTCAGATAATCAAATGTATGAATAATTATGACGATGTTATACGGTTTATCAATTCTAATTAGATGGCTGCTTGCTCAATGTTATTAGTTAGAAATAAAATGTATTCCAGCTATTATTATTTTTATTTAATGATTTTAATGTCCCCCCTGTGATTTTTTTTATTTACAAAAAGTCAGACCTGCGCAAGTAAGACTAAAACACTTTAACGATTTATAACGCGATATATATTAGTTAAATTTATTTGAAAACTAATTAATTGCATCCGAAACGTCGGGCCGTTGATAAAATATTTTACAAATAATTTAACAAATATATATCGCATTTTAAACTCGTAAGTTGTTTCATTTATATGTGTACTACTCGCGTAAACTACAGACAGTGTTTAAGTCAGATTAAAACATTTTGTTTTTACGCGGAACTCGAACTCTGGATAGAAGTGCTTAATGCAATGCCATCAATGGTTATAATAAGCCGCCTTTGTAACTAAACGGTGTATTTAGTTCCAAGGGCGATTTATTTTCTCTTCTTTTTTATGATAGAGGGGACAAGCATGTCTCGATGGTAGGTATAATACCCAAAGAACATTTAAACAAGATGCGTTGTCGGCTTATTTTGGTTTTAGATAAATGCTACTAAGCAAACAATCTAAACGGATTTCGGATTAATTCATAAAAGTCCTTTACTTAATTGCTTAAAGAATAAAGAAATCTCTTTAAGTTGGAATTGCAAGAACAAGAAATGTAAAAGAAAACCCCTCGACACGGCGTTAAATCTTAAAGAGAAACTAAGCAAAGCTTGTTAGAGGTTCTTGTTTACTAGGAAAGTGAGATATATTTCGTATTTTTCGCCGTTTTAAGCTGAAACATAATTAGTATTTATTTAAAGCTTAAGTCTTACTTACATCATTATCAATACCTTGTTCTTATTTTGTGTCTAAGGAAAAAAATAATTTTCACTTAATGAAAACACAATACCGTCTCTCAAAATCAAACGAAAAAAACGTCAAAAAAATTATATTACTAGTATTATATATAAAAATACGTTTGCAAAGATATTATTTATTATTCGTGGTACAAGTAAACTACTTGCTTTTAAACTTAAAATAGACCGGATTGGTGCCTAGCACCATTTTTTTATTAATTCATTTGTTTTTACATGTCAAGGTTCTATGGTTTGAAGTCTGCCATATTTGTTATGGCCTCTTTTCAAGTGTATTATTTAAAAATGCTTACTTTAAATACTGTCTATAGTTTACGGGAGTAGTACACATTTAAATAAAACACTTCAGCGGTAAAATTTTAGTTAAACTTATTGAAGATAATTTTTAACTTCGGCCCGACGTTTCGGCTGCTGCAAAGCATCCATGGTGTCATTTTTCATAAGTTTGACTAATATATCGCGTTTTAAACCGTTGAAGTATTTTATTGAAATGCTTACTTTGTTATATATCATTCTCTTTTATTCATAAATATAATATAGCGAAGGATAAGGAAAGATAAAGGAAAGAAAAAGGAAGGAGAATAGTTTATAGTTTACGCTGGTAGTGGAACAACTGCCTAAGAGATTTCCAGTCGTATTTTCCGTTTATTACATTCTCACGAATAAAGTTAAATATTTATTTGCTACGTTGGACTTACACCAGTTTTAATAATCCACAGACAGCTACAAATAATTTTCGTTTTATATTCGTTAACTTTGATTTCGTTGATATAGTGATATTGTTGATGTTATGCTGTAAATAAACCACAAAATGAATTGGCCCTAGTTTGAAGATATGGGTGGGACCAGAACCCCCCACCCCAACGTTTCTTACCATTGCCAGTTTAATTACCTCATCAAAATGTAAAGCAATAAAACGGAAAGCTGTTGTCGTGGGATTCTTCCCTGCACGTGTAATAAAATTTTAAATTTCTTGACCTCATGAGGCCCAAAGTATCCAAAAGCTAAGTTCTTAACATGTTGAATCATATTAAATTAATGAATTTTCTCATATTTTGAACAAATACTGTGTCTGTTCTATTCGTATATTACTGCTTGCTAAAATTATTAAGTTTCCCCAGGATTCAAATCGCCTTTGAACGCAGTAGTATCCTCATTGCGGAGCTACGGTGGCGGTTAAACGTTTCGTAACGAGTAACATTAAATAACTAAGAAATATTTTAGGAATTACAATTTAATGAGAATATCTCTAAGTAAAATATATAAGATCGCCTTGACGAGGGTCTACAATTCAACCAATTTACAAAAGCGTAAAGGGAGTAGTGGCGGTAACGTTTTTCAGAAAAACATTTGGAATTAAGAAATAAAAATATCTGTTTTACAAATAATTTACAAGTTAAAAATTTCGGTTTTCAAGCCGTCAATAAAATTGTTTAAAATTAATAATTTAAATTCTGATATATATAAATATTATATTAACTTATTTTAACTTAAATCACTTATATCGACAAAATCTTATTCAAGTAGTCTAGTTATCTACCAACTACTAGCAACCCATAAGAGCTACAATCACACTGAGGAGTGCTGCTGGCAGTGGGTACTGCAGCCGCAACTGCCCGCCATGCTGCATTGCTGCTGGATGCTCTCCTGAAACAATGAATTACTTAAAACTCCTTGTATAAACACTATATACGTAGACTAGCTACGTCAGCGACTTCGTTCGTGTAGAATAGTTACTTTGAGTATCAAAGTTTGTTTTTGCAAACCTCCTCATGACCTTTTAGTTTTCAGCTGTTATCCACGACACGTCATGTCGCTCGCGACCCATCGTCCGGGTTTTGTCATTTTAAGAAGTCAGTCTTAAAATATAGACATGTACGTCATTCTTTCATACATATTTTTTGTGGTATCTTGTACCGTTTTTGTAGCCTACGCCTCGGAATCCCATAATGACCCAGAATAATTTTCCCAATTTTGTCATTTCTCGCTGTATCTTTGCCTGTATTAGTCACAGAACGATGTTTCATTGCTCGATAAATGCTCTAACCAACACAAAAATATTGTTTAAATTTTAACCAGTAGTTCCAGAGATTAGCGCGTTCAAACAAAGAAACTCTTCAGCTTTATATATTGGTATAGATTAGTATATTAGGACTCGAAGTTATGTTATAACTAAACAACAACAAATCTTACTACATTACGTTAAACAATTTAGTTATTCTCCTAAAACGAATACAGTCGAATTACTCCCATTCATAAAAGTCACGAGAACGCGAACGGGTAGTTTTAAATTCAATACATTTTAATTACATTACCTTCGTTAACTGAAAGCGTCCCGTGTTATTTAATTGTACAGTGTGGGTTGTTTTGTCACATCTATACTAATATATAAAGCTGAAGAGTTTGTTTGTTGAACGCGCTAATCTCAGGAACTAGTGGTGGAAATCGAAAAAATATTTTTGCGTTGGTTAGAGTCGAGTTATTTTATTGGGTATAAAGCATCGCGCTGTGACTAATAGAAGCGAAGAAGGGGCGATAAACAATGGGGAAAATTATTTATCATTGTGGATTTCTGTTGAGTGCTCTGCAAAAACGCTTGAAGATACCGAAAAAATATGTATAAAAAAATTATTCCCCTTTAAATGATCTAAAAAAATTGTTTCGATGTATGTCTATCTTTTAAGATTGAAGTGCCAGAACGACGAGACGCTCCGAAGTCGTGGGTAACGGCTATAGTTTACAAGGACGAGGAGGTTTGCAAAAATAAAAAATTGACGCCCAAAATAACTAATCTACGCGGACGAAGTCGTTGTCACAGCTAGTGTGTTATAAAAAAATCTGTCACGCGTCATTGCGTGTTGATTATGTTGTGTATGTTTCCGAAAATATTTACTAATTTAATAGATATGTAGTGTATACTACATAGTATAAAACAAAGTATCTATTTCTGCGCAAGCGCTTTCCCTAAGTCCGCTTAAATCTTCAAAACAGCGCAACGGATTTTGATGCGTTTTTTTAAATCGATAGATTGATTCAAGACGACGGTTTTTACATACAACGTTCACGTTTTTCTGTAGTGTATTTAGTGGCATGGCATCCGGGCAAAGTCGTGGCGGGTCGCCAGCTATAATAAAACGTCACATTTATGTCACAAACCGATCAAACAACGTACGAATCTCACTTCGGAACAAAATCGATGAAAAATTCGCTATCACAAAGTTTGGTTTCGGGTTTATCACTGAAATGAAATCGGCGTGGATTCGTTCAATTTTGGACGCGATCCAGTTAGCTTTGTTGTCGAATGAGCTATCAAAAATCGTACTTATTACTGGAAGTAAATCCGACTCTTGTCATTCTTAACAGAGTAGATGTAAGTGACTCTAGATTTTAATAAATATAAAAAATCTTTTAAATAAAACACTTTGACGGTTTAAAACGCGATATATTAGTTGAACTTATTTAAAAATGATTTTTAACTTCGGCCCGACGATTCGAATTTTCTACTTTGACGTCAGGGACATCCTCCATCTTTAGTATCCCCGTGACCAGGCTGCTGTAAAGCATCCGAAACGTCGACCGAAGTTAAAATTCATTTTCAAATAAGTTTAACTAATATAACGTGTTTTAAACCGTTAAAGTCTTTATTAAAAAAAAAAACAATTTAGCGGTTTAACGCGATATATATTAGTTAAACTCTCTCGCGTAAACTACAGACAGTACTTACGAACCGTGTATATAGGTGTATGAAATCCCGTTTCCCTTGTGGGGCTTGTGGGGCGAAAATTTCTGTGTCCGTTTCACTAATCCGTTCTTTTAACGGCCAAGTAGTTGATCTGACTGTCCCTGCCCGACCGAAGAAATTTTTGATTCCTGGGATTCGAACCCAGGACCTCTGGCTTAAGCAATATAGGCAATACGTTTAACTAATTGGTAAAGACGTCGGTGTATATAGGACTAGTGGATAATATTACACCTTTAAATAAAACACTTTAAGCGGTTTAAAACGCGAAATAAATATTACCTTATTTTTCTTTATTTTATTTAGGGCGAGACGTTTTGGGTGTTTTAACATTGTTTTTAAATATATTTCGATTGATGAATTAATTGACTACCTAACTTAAATATTAAAAGCTTATCTTGTTTATTTTCATCCAATATTAAGCAATATTTTATTGCATGTAGAGATTAACTCCTTGTTAAAAATTAATCAGGCGATTAGATAAGGTTTGACAGTAAAACATACTATGTGTTTTTGCTTCATTATGTAAGAATTGAGCACGTGATTCAGTTTCTTACATTAAATTTGCACACTTAAACGGCTGGACAAATTTTGATGAAATTGTCCACATTAAAATATAGAATAGGTACTCACCACTCAGAACATGGACGAGTACTGATCTCGGGTTCGCATTGGCGGGTGCGCAGGTGTACCTCCCGGAGTCTGAACCCCGGGCCTTCTGCACGAGCAAGTGAGACGTGGTCATCTCCCCCTTTTCCGTGATAACGGAGACACCGCCGCGTGGCGAGTCATAATTTATTTCCTGTAAACGAGACAACATTTTAATTGGTGTAATGTGGGATGGTAATTTGTTTTTTATGACTTTTAATAGCTGGGGGATACTGATCTCCTCTTGCTTGGACCCACCACTCTACTTCAGTGCGGGTTGACGCGCTTTTACGACTACTGCTACTAAATTTGTGCTTATAAGATGGCATAAACTACTTGCTAGGTATAGGAAACCATCTGTATATAAACAAGATATAAATATTACATTTTTTATTTGCGAGTTCAAAACTTATTTAGTATTTTTGTGACCGTCAAAAGATGTCTACTAGGGACCCGCCCCGGCTTCGCTCGGATGCAATTGCTGTGAAATTCACTACAGAAAAACTGTGAGACAATTGTTTGTAAAAAAAAACCGCTCATTTTGAATCCATTGCGTATTTTTAAAGGTTTAAACGGGACAGTAATGACTTTGTTTTAAACATACACGTATGATTTTAAAACAAATAAATCAATCTATCAAATACTGTCTATAGTTAACGCGAGTAGTACACATTTAAATAAAACACTTTAAGGTTTAAAACGCGATACATTAGTTAAACTTATTTGAAAATGATTTTTAACTTCGGCCTGACGTTTCCGAAAATTTCAAAGCGTATCCGGGAAACAAGTCGGGTCGAAGTTAAAAATCATTTTCAAATAAGTTTAACTAATATATCGCGTTTTAAACTGTTAAAGTGTTTTATTTAAATCAATTTATCATTTTTATTTTAATGGTGAAGTTACAGTGTTTTGTATCTTTCTTATCAATCCAAGTGTTTTTCTATCATCACAATAATGGTTTAAATGTGTATTACGCGCGTAACTACAGACAGTACTTAAAAAGTAACTTACCGTTCATCTAGAACTAGTCAATAATACCTTTGAAATAAATGTTTATTACCACTGCTTTGTCTCATGTGATTCCATTTGTACGAACGTATGATATTTTTGCGTTTACCTTTATAACGTCCCCGCTTTTCCAATAAACATTAAAACGGAATTTCCAAATGGAAAGAAAACATAAAGAAACGTATTTATTTAAGAGGCTTATTACCGCGACTTTCGAAGAAGAGTACTTTGTAAAGCCTTATACAGATCTTAAAGATATATACATGAAGAAGTGGAGCAGTTATTTTCAAAAATTTAAGGTTGAAATTACATTGCGCGTGAGTTATGCATATATTTAACAGGCTCGCTGATCTATTGGTAGGAAGTGGATAATAATCTACGGGTCGTGGGTTCTATCCCCGGTTTCTAATTTTTCGATTTATAATTTTCCCTGAAACATTTTCGACTTCGTCTGGAAATCTGGATATAAGATAGGTGGTAGTAAACTTTAATCGCGTTTTAGTTTCTGTGAATTTTTGAATATTAAAAGCCAAAATAGGACGACAGCGCATCTTGTTTAGTGCTATAGGTTCGGGTATATCACCTACCATCAAGTAAACCATATCTCTGTCTTCCTCTATCATAAAAAATATATATATTTATGAAAACTTTAATGTTTTTCACATGTTATTGCTATTATGATATGTATGATTATATATCATATCAGATATTAATACAGAGAAATTATATTAAACAACACATCACCCTTTGAACATAGCAAAATATTAACTAAGTCAAAAATCAATTTTGATTTTTTTAAATTACATTGGCTGGACTGAAACCGGCATTCACAGTACAGGTAGCGAAGGAAATTTGCATTGCGCGTGTGGTGTACGTAATAATAGGTTAAAGAAATTTGACGCTGAACACGGTAGCTGAAGTGATTACAGCAGCACGGAACGACTGTGGATGTCGGATAAAGTCGCACCCGGGTTGTAAATTTTTTCAATCTAAATTTATGTTTAATCTGGTTAAGAACGCCGTGTTTTTAGAATTCAAAGAATCATGTGGTGTTTCTAAAAATATTATCGTAAATGAATGTAGCCTTAGTAAAATATTCGCTCGAACGATTCCAGGAAATTGGTTCAACAATTTCCCGTTTGATAAGCGGATATTAAGAAATGACGGACTTTATAACTTTTTGTTATAAAATATTAGTTATGTATATATGTATTGCTAATATAATATATTTACAAGAGCGGGACATGGTAGCTCAAAAGGTAGAGCAACAACTCAGGACACTGTAGTTATGCGATTACCCAACTACCGTCATCATTTATACTAATATTATAAGGCAAGATTTTTTAAACGAGCCACTATTGGTTTGAATCGAAAAATTCTTATTGTGTTGGTGAGATAATTTATCGAGGAAGGTTTTAGCCTATAAAACATATGATGCGATAAAAAGGAGTGAAGGAATAGTAGGAAATGTGGAAAAAAGGGAAATATATTCATCTTTAAGGGTTTCCGTTGCGTGCTCTGCGGTTTTAGAAACCAAAAAAATATGTATGGAATAATTATTATTATGCGTACGATAGTATATACAACCGACAACGTGGCTAAGGAGGAGGTTTGCAAAACCAAATTTTGATGCCCAAAATAACTATTTCACGCGAAGTCAGGGCTTAGCTAGTTTTTGGTATAGGTGGATAAGACAACATTAAACCTCGAATGTTCATCACGAATTGAAAATAATATTGTTCATTTTTCAGACGACATGGATTGATGATGAATGACACGAACGTTGCGTGATGTCCTTTTTTCCTCGGAAAGTAAGTTTCTAAATAACAATAGCTAAATAAAGTCACATCTGTTGCTACTCGCATATAACACACAATAAATAACGAACTTTTAACGGTTTAAAATGCAAAATATTGCTAAAAAGCAGTGCATTTTATGTAAAATAAAAATCACTTATAGATTTTGAGTTTGAACCACGTTAAATATTTTTGATAATAGCGAAAATTAAATTTTTCGATATTAAAATAAAGAAAATATCAATAAGTTTCCTTGCTTACGCTATGTTATATTGTAATTTCGAATTATAATATTCAACACATTCGGAACCTCGGATCGGGTCGGGTCATATTTAAAGGTTATTTAACTAAAACATTTATATAAATATAAGCACATATAAAACATTAGATTATAATTTAATATAGATTTATATATATGACAAAAAAGTCTAACGAAGCTCCAAATTTTTATTATTTTTAAAATAAAATATTATATTTAATCTCTTTTGTTTAATTTACGTGTTTCGACGAAAGTTTATTGGGTATTTCAAATAAGTTACATTTATCTATTTCAATCACACTAGCTACATATGTTTCGTTCAGAACTTTTGATTAGTTTGATGTGAAACTCGTTTGCCAACCAAAATTGTATTTTTACGAGGCTCAAAAAAAAAATGCGTATGAAAAAATTACAAAAACATATTGGCGTTACATTTTGAAACAGCCGCACAGTATTTGACATTTTTACGTAAGCTGGTTTTCCAATTTATCCACTTGCCTTTACTCGAGTAGTACACATTTAAATAAAACAGCTGCTGCAAAGCATCCGAAAGGTAGGGCAGTAGTTTAAATTAATTTTAAGCTATATACATCGCGTTTTAAACCGTTAAAGTGTTTTATTTAAATGCGTTTTGTCTATAAACTATAGTTCACGCGAGTAACACATTTGAACACGGTCATGGGGGTCGTAATAAAAGAAGAATGTAAATAAGTTTATATTATGTTAGAGGAGGACAGAACGAACATAGGGTCCACTTAATAAAAGGTGAAATACCCAAGCTGCCGACCTATTGTGGCTTTGGATATTCGGAAATCCATAAATTGAAACCGAAGAGCGATTAAACTTCTTCTTCACGGCTTTTACAGCCTTAGGTGATATTTCTTGACTTGTACGGAAACTCGATGTCCCTACCACCCATCCAATATCCAGATTTAGAGAACACCGTCATAACAGTTTAAAAATAGGTTGTTTAAATTGTATATTGGTTTTGGTGTACAAAATAAAGCATGTTTCAGAAAAATTATAAATAGATTAGAAATATAAATTGTGTACGGCTTTTTCCGCACGTGATGGCGAAACGTCGAGAACCTCTTCTCGCTCACGTCGTCGGCCGAATAGCCCGAAAAAACAATGATATAGATTAAACATATGTTGGACCCAATTGGGATCGAATATACGACCGGTTGTTTATTAGCCATACTTTGCTACCATTACACGCGTATCGTTAAAAGAGTTATTATAACTGTGCTTAATTTTTACCATCGTGCCATGGAGGCAGTAAGTGAAATTTGCAAAAGCAAATAACAAAAGTTCGCTGTTTATCCATTACGTGCAAATAAGCTATGATCGACTACACAGCACAACCGCTCTATTTAACTTTGTTTGAACTATTTTCGCCTGTCTGCCTCGCTTGAACTCTGTATGATCGTTGGGGCTTGAGGGATCGCCTATTTCTATTATGCTTATAACAAACAGTTTAATAACTGTCCTATTGTTATATTTAGGGTTCCCTCTTTTTTGAGTGATTATTTTGCCACTATTAAATCACCGATTTTGCAGATAGACCAAGGGTGCCCCAAGACGCTGCGATTCCAGATACCCTAAAACTTGGTTTGTAAAAATAATTCCTAAGTCCTTAATCTATATTAGATTAAACTCATTTTTATATTATTGGTATTAAGTACAATTTCTGCTGTCACGCATACCCCTTTTATTATTGTGTTTTCATTTCCACCCTAGTTGCTTGGAAGAGATAGCTATTTAGCGATAAAGTCGCCGTTTGCCCCTTTAATCAATTTTATTTTGTCTTATTGTTTTGTGACAAAAAATAATATTTGTATTGTATTCTTATTTAAATGATGAAAAAACTAAGTCCGCGACAGTATAGGTCGATTTTTAATAATTAACTTGCAAGAACGACGGGACGCGGACAGCGTCGTAAATAACATCAAAAAATCTTGATGCCCATAATAAAATTAACTACGGGGAGAAAATCGCGACCACAGCCAGTAAATAATAAAATAAATTAAGTAATCGTAACAAGTACTTAAGGTATTCAGAAAATACATAAACGATAGTTAATTAATATAA